TATATATATATATATATATATATTATTTTCGCTCACAGATAAGATTTAAAACTCAAAGATTAAAACTAATCAGGTAAACTTATTAATTCCTTTTAATTGTATTAATTAATTATAATCAAGCATAGTAGAAGGGAGAAATAACGTTGGTGACCTTAATGGAAAAGCGATTGCTCTTCAAGGACATTCCAAGCAAGCGCACACCGAGGCTTCGCGTGTGCTTCGTTATATACGATAATGTTGGTCAACGAACCCTCCTCGCGATAACGGTGGATCAATTGAAATGCACCCCTCGCGCGCGCTATTCCAGGCTGGCCATTACTGCGATGCAAGGGGCACTCCATTTTCTTACTCGAAACATGTCTCTCGAACGTAGGATTCCTTCGAGCTCAAGTACTTGGAATATATAAACTCTTCGATACGCGTAATCCAAGATGACGTAAACAATTTTAGTAAAATTTATATTTCATCTATTATGGTTATATTGCGAAAATAATTGAGTTATTTTTCACAAACATTTTTTGTATTTTACAAAAAGAATGATGTAGTCTTTCAGTAGATAAAAAAAATTTGTTATTAAAAGGCATATATCATGCTGCAATGCAATCATACAAAACAAACACGTGGCAAGAATCATATGAAAATGTGCGGATTACGCGAGATGGGGACTCTAATCTCTTGACTATTCTGTTCTAACAAAGGTAGCGTTGAATATGGAGCCAATCAGCTACATCACTTTTCCTTGCAGGACATGACTATTTAATGTACGGAGAATTTGTTAATCAATATATATATTTTTGTCAATTCACAAATACTAAAAATTAAATTAATTTATAAATACTGAAAAAAAAAATTACAAATAGTGAAATAAAATTGTTATTTTTTGCGAACTTATCAAAACTTTAAAATGATGGAAAATCTAATCGTTTAATACTCTCTAGTAAATTATATTTTCGATAAGTCCTATCTCGAGTGAAATTGGAAGTCTGGGAGATATGACGAGAATCGAAAGTTTGTGACTTGACCAGCCGTAATACCAGATGGCAAACAACGTTACCAAGCTACAATCTACGCGACTGTTTCACGGGGTGAATTTTATCTTTACTGCAGCGTGCATACAGATAAAAATTTCACGATGTGATCGTCAGCGTCCCACTTGTGGGAAGATAGAAGTGCGATAATGTACCCAGTATCCGTTATATCGTTCGCGCTCTCATCGATGTCACGACAAATAAAATGTTATGATCGCTATATTGATTAATAAACGAGTGTTGTGCTATGCGATTATATGGATGCTGGACGTAACTTCTGAAATATTGCATATAATGGATCAAGAAAGCAAATAATTCTTAGAATCAACTGCTCGACTTAAACACACTAAAATTTCTGAATCTTGACATAACAAAAAATGAGAAAAAATTTAATTAAACATTTTAACTTAAAGACGTGTAATGGACATTCTGAGGCATGCAAAAATGTTAAAATTAACATTTTTGTGTTATTGACTATTCTGTTCTAATAACAAGAATAGCGTTGAATATAGAGCCAATCAACTACATCACTTTTCCCTGCAGGACACGACTACATTTAATGTACGGAGAATTTGTTAATCAATATATATATTTGTGTGTGTGTGTGTGTGTGTGTGTGTGTGTCAATTCACAAATACTAAAAATTAAATTAAATTACATTAAATTAAATTAAATTAAATAGAATAATATTATTTCTATAAACAAAAATATTTTTATTAACGATTTTAGAATTGAAAGAGAAGCACAAAACTTTTTCTAAATAATAAAACGAATTGTAAAAAATGTTTAATTTAGAAAAAAGTACGTGACTTCTGCACAGCTTAAATATGTAATATTATTTATTTTTAATGTATACTGTCATTTTTATAGTTCGTTAAATTAAACTATATACAATGTTACATAAAATGTGCGATAATAATAACAATTAGATTGGATCAATAAATTAATAAAAATTACCAAGATACAATTTTTCTCCAAAAATTTTCCAACATTGCGTCAATCAAATTTTATAAGAAAAATATCAATCTTATTTTTTTTAAGAATTAAAAATAAAATACATTAATAAATCGCCTTTATTCATAGTTTTGATTTGTGAGTATTAATAACAAGATGCGTATCGTGAATGCAAAGCAAAATGTATCATTCAAAGGTCAGCGACGACTTTGTTGCGTAAACCGTAAATCATATGCTGGACATTTGTTTCTGATGCTCCGATCGATTTAACTTTTTGTGAACTTCGCGAACAAGCAATTTTCGCTAAAACACGCGGAAGAAACTGCAGTGACGTCTTGAGCATACAAAAATAAGAAAGAAGTATCCCCCAGCATCAATCACAAACGATATAAAGGAATTTTCTTCAAGCTCTTTCAAAACCAATAATATTAGAGAAAATATTTGAATTATAATTTTATTTTTTTTAATTTGTTTACTTTGCCGTAATCTCATTACTTATTGTTTTCTTAAATATTTAAAAATAAAACTTTAAATAACTAAGTTTTTAAAATAAAATAGTTGTTTTAATATAATAAAAGGAACAATAATAACTTATACCATTAATAACTCATATAATTACTAGAATTATTTTCATATCCAAGGGATCCTTAAAAATATGAAGACGATACTGAGCAAGAAGAAGCATTTAGTTAATGTATTCGTCGACAAGAAAGTCGCTAAATCATAAAGACGCCTCCTCTATCGCGAATGAAACGTACGTGAGACTGAAAAAACGTCGGCGTCGTGCTCTAAATCAAACGCATGTCACTCGGCTAAGCTCGTCCTAAGAAAAATAAGGGAGAAACACGGCGACATTCCCCTAACTGTATGCTAGACATTAAAGGAGCACTATAACATCTACAATTCCACAAACCCTCCTGTTTACGGGAAGCAAGTAGAAAGCAGAGAAATCGCCAAATCAATGTTCTAACCGAAGATTAGAAGAAAGACTAACTGTCATGTATAATAACTATCATGAATTAATAATATAACGTATTTAAAAAAAGATAAAGTAAATATAAATATTTAACTTTAGATATTTTTATAAGATCATAAATAATATATCATATTCAGAACGCGCTTTTATCGATAAATATACACGCTTTTATGTCTGGAATTCTACAGTAATATGAACAAAAAGTTAAATATGCGCTAACATTGTAAAAACTCATTCTGAATGCGGGCTTTAACATCTAAATTTATAATAATCTAATATTTTACGCTTTTTATACAAATAATTAAATATGAATGATTCATAATTTATAAGATAATAAATGTGTACCTAAGATACCTTTCTACGTGTATTCTTGCCTTCACGTATATAAATTCAACTTAAATTATTGTTTGTGCTATAAACTTCTTTATCTAAAAATATATACGAGTATTTTATTTAGACGTTTATTAATATAAAAAATTTAATTATTTTTAGTACGTTTTTCATACTGTTATCGTTACATAAAATCGTTCATTATTTCATAAAATTGTTTCTTAAAAATATTGCTTAGAAAATTTTATTAATTAATTATTTAATAAATTTTTATTTAATAAATTTAATAAATTTTTTATTTCAAATCTTATTTAATTTTGTTTATATTCGATCACCAAAATTTTTTAATTTATTAAAATGTTTTCGCTACAGATAAAACTATTTCTGTTTCAAATCAAAGCTACTCAAATGCACTTGCACTTCGTAAAATCGCCGTCCTTTGAATCGTTACTGCGTACCGAGGTGGTAATAATCGAAATACGAGTGTAGTCCTGAACCTGTGAACGACGTGCAAAAGAGTCGCACCTATTCCCAGTGCGGCCATAGGGGATTCCCTCGGCATTGTCGCCCCACGTCACTCCGCACCGCTTCAGCAGCCCTCTGGGTTCTTCGGGGGCGCGTGCGCACGCGTGGAAAATTGTGTCTGATAACGGCGGGGGGCCCGACGTCGTTTTAGTATTGGCCGCAACGCCGTAACGTCGCGACGTCTGGATACCGCCTCTTTTCCCTACAATATTTACGTCTCCAACGAAAACCGTCAAAACGCGATATCGAAAAATGAGAAACCGATTTGACGCAGTAAAAAATCATCTCAATCTTCCGAGATCGGTGCCGCTTCGTATTGCTCCGATTGTCACACGGCCACGGCCGGAAGTATAGCGGGCTTCGCGAGAAGGTATGATTGCTTAATGATCGACATTGTTTTTATTAATGGCATCGTTAACACTTTTCCTTTGACTTTGACACAAAAAACATTGTGATAGCGTCCATTTTTACAAACGCGCAAAACCAAATATATTTACAGGATATATCATAAAGAAATTTATTTTGAGCTCTGATAGTACCGGTCACTTAGAGTAAAGATACAAGTATTTATTTATTTATAAATAAATAAATAGAAACTTTATATTGTGCAAAGTACATTAATTTAAAATGGAACCAAAATAATCGACAGTGTTACGAGATTTGAGACATACGTGATGTATAATAAGTTTTTACGTTACAAAGCAATAACGCTTTATTTTCTCTTTAATCCACGATTTATACATCTACAATAGCGCTTGAAATCGTATACGGATTTATGTAGTCTCTTTTATTTCCAAAACGACCGCCATTATTATCTCCAAAAATATTGACATTGCTTGGCGGGGCAGCTTTGCGTCAAAGCGCAGAAAAAGTTTCACTCGATCTTTGCAAAAATCAATCCCAGCAATTCTTTTTCGCGAATTTCTGTATTATATTTCGCAACGAAACAATTATTTAATACGAGTCATACTTCGTTCGTCAACTATAATTTAATATTCTTTTACTTGACAGGAAGACGGATGTAACAAACGCGGTGCATTTTGGCGAGAGAATAACTTCGCCGAATCAGTGCAACTCAAGTCGTAGTGACTACGATGTCAAAGTGATCTTTTGCAATTGATCGAACGACAGACGTGTGTCATCCATCATGCAGAGACCTGGATTGCAGTTCGTGACTTTGCTGTTGTCCTCCTTGATGGTGATAAGGATATCAGTGGTCTCAGGTACGTCCAAAAGAATTTTGTAAACTTTAAGATAGATTTCATCTGTGCGTCTTATAACGCAAACATATCATTTTTCATTTTGACAAATTGAAGTAATTTTGCATTCGCCGTGATAAGTTCAAATCACAATGCAAGAAAGCTTTAAGATTATTTTATATCCATGCGAAAGTCTTTTAATTTTAACCACGTGGCCTTTAATAATTATTTATCGATTTTAGAGAACCTTTTGTTTGAAAAACAATTTATAATTGATCAAATAACAAAAGATAACAAATACTAATAGCTTGTGTTGGCTCATATTGGCATTATACATATCATCAAAGATAACAAAGTTTTCGAAAAATCATTTTCGTGTGCAATTTATGAAAGCATCAAAAATAGTATAAAATACATTCGTAATTTATGGTTTAATATCATAACCAATAAATCTAATGTAATGAAAATGTTGACCAGACTGTTGACCGCCTTGTATTCATTGATATCTTTTCTAGCTAGATACTGTAACGTAGCGTAATAATATAATTTTTTAAACAACAATAACAAACGATAGAATACAAACGATCTTTTATACGATGTTGGAACCGAATCTTTAAGTCGCACCAGATCCATGATTAATTAATTAACTCGCGTCGCCATTGTATGCTAAATTGTCAATATCTTATTTGCAATCCTATGCCGAAATGCTGTCACGCAATATTTGTTGGATGAAACGGCTGACGCATCAAAAATAATAAGCAGACGCGCCGTTATCGAATCTCGTTAGATATAATACAGCCAATATTAACGGATATACCAAAGCTAATAAATGTTAACGGATATACCACAACTTTCCGCGTTATGAATTCTTTTATAATAACATCCGACATTCCATCGACCAATGTTTCACAATAAACGCGAGAAAACATGAGAAAATTAATTTAGGTATAAATAACAATTTTAATTTCACAGATAAACAATCTCTGAATAATAATCGCGGTTTCAGAATAATATCATCAATAATGAGAATTTTGAGGGGTTAATGGCAATTATGTTGTATAAAGAGAAGCTTTAGATGACAACTAAGTTGACCTAAGATCATTCTATATTAGATCAATCCCTAATTGGAGGGCGGGAATTAAGGGTGTAGGATTAACCTTTGCACTAGGAGTATAATTTTCCGTGTGGCAGATGCGCCACGTTTTCCTAATGCATCAATGCTGCCGCACTCATCCAATTATTCCCGGCTTATGCCGTTGGTAAACGTCAGTGGAAGCGAAAGGTTTTTTCCGCAACCCCATTGTGACTTCATAACAATCCGATAACATTGTAATTATAATGTTACCGTTGCAAATTGTAATTATAATAATATAAAATTGCGATACCGCGTAATGTGATAGTTATAATATTGCGATACCACGTGATGCGATAGTTATAATATTGTAATTACAAAGCATAAACTATACAAGGAGATAATATTACACTGACATTTTCAGCGATGCGCAAACCCAAGCTCGCATTTAGTTGTAAGCTTAACAAGTCGCCGTTAAATTGCACCTCTTCACAACACCGGGAACAGATCTCTCCAAGCGGCTTTGCTCTAATTCAATTCTTACGCCGTACGCTTTACGGGATATATAACATTGTATGTAATTCCTAGGAAGCGCAGCATGTCACGAGACAATGCGAGTTTCGTTAACGCGCAGGAGGCGGTAGGCGCTCATAAACGCCAAAGTTACAGACATGCCCCGTCCGTCGGTCTTTGCTCGACTTCTCACGCACGCCTGCGGGACTATCGATTTCGCGTACAGAGCCGCACGAGCGCGAAAAAGGGTCTCGGGCAAGGGTGCATTGATAGGGGCTGACGATAACGCGTTCGCAGAACGCAGCTCCAGGTGCAGGGTCGTTTCGCCCTTCAAGTGCTATAAGTCACATGAGGCACGATATCTGAAACTACGAAACTGTTCGAGTCTTAGAAAACAAGAACTAGCTAAAAAATAAGAAATTTTCTTTTTTACAAAAAAACTACAAAATTTAATTTAATGAATTAAATTAAATATTAATTGTGTATTAGTTCAGAGTTTTTATGCATTTTTGTATAGTATTGATATAAAAGACTTCAAAGTATATTACGATAAAATAATTCTTCTATGTGATTATAAATTATTTACACATATAAATTGCTAATTATTTCATTAATCTTTAGAGAATAAAGGTTTATTTTTTAAATCTTACAACTTTTTTAAAATAAAATTTGTTATAATTCATTATTTTACTGTATTCCTTGCTTCAGAATATAAAATTATTCCAGCATCATTAACTGGCTTTCCCGTCCTGTAGATTAATACTAGCATTATGCCATTAATGGGATATGTCTAAATATTTCTTTTTCGTAATGACATCAAAGGCAGCATTATAAAAATCTCTTTCTGTCATTTCTTTCGTTTAATGTTTGATATAAAAGAGAGTACCACTTTACAAAGCTTGTTGAAGTGCCGGCGGCGATTTTAGATTGAGCTTCAGGACACCAGGGCAAAAGTCACGAACAGCGTACCTTTTTGAATGATTTCGTAACAATACTACGCAAAAGTTGACATTAGCGTTTCATCATGCAACGATCGTGCGGTGTCGCGTGCCAACCACGTATTCTCACGTGCATAACTCCGATGAACTGCGAGAATCGATACAGACCTTTCGCATACGACCGTATTTTTTGCCAACAATTCAGACCGATACTTCATGCGTGACAAGATCGAGCAGTGTGGCAGTTCTCGGTACGACCTATCACAATTATAATCTTTAAAGAACAATAATTTTTCGAACGTAGCCTTGGCTTAATTCCAAAAATAAATCAAATAAATCAAATAAACGACGCATCTTCATATTTCCTTGTAACACATATCTTGGATCTCTAGAAAAACATCAAGTATTTAAAAAAATTTTTTTTTAAATGGGATTTGTATTTAAATACGAGATTTTTAAAAATAAGGATTAAATAGTTTTACTAACTTTTTTAATTTTCTATTATTTTTGAAAATTATATCTTCATTAAAATAATAAAATTTGCAATAAATATGGAAAGGGCTCTAATATACATGTCTCAAAAATCACGAACCTTTACAATCGCAAATACTGTCCGGGCAACTGACGTCATAGTTTAAAGTTCAAAGTAATTAAACATTTTCCCATTGTTCATTAACTGCATTGTACGTAAACAATAAAAGTACGGCAATAAAAAAGCTCGATTGCACGCAACGCAAGTTGAAAAAAAATTCTTTTTTTTAAATCAAATTCAATTTTTGAGATATTAAACCTGCGTAGATGCAAACACTATTTGATTAAACATTTTCCCATTGTTCATTAACTGCATTGTACGTAAACAATAAAAGTACGGCAATAAAAACTCGATTGCACGCAACGCAAGTTGAAAGAAAATCTTTTTTTTTTTTAATCAAATTCAATTTTCGAGATATCAAACCTACGTAGATGCAGATACTATCGCACTATATCAAGGGTATCTAATAATATTTGGTATCGACGGTTTCCCGCAGATGCGGCTTTTTGCTTCTTTTCTTGTCCTGGCCCCTGACGTTATACGCATTAACGTAGAGGGAGGAGGATACGACGAGGGTAAACGCGACGGGGTTGGTCCCACCCCACACAGCCCACGACGCTGTGCAGAACTCTGGCATGGCAAGGCTGCGCCGGTTTATTGCTCGCGTCACGCTATCGCGTTCACCGTCCGGTCGGGCAGCGAAATTCGGCATCGATTTCGCCGAAGAAAGTCGCGTCGTGAGCTTCATTGACATTGAATGTGCCATTCAATGGCAAGCCGCAACCTTGGCTGCGTTTCCGCGGTCGCCATCGAGGTCATCATCGCGAAACTATAGTCGCTCCTTTTAACCGACGATCGCCATTATTTTTGTCCAAGATATATAACAGATGTCCAAAAGTAATGAAAGTTACGAGACGACGAGTCAGAATTCTCGACGAGACACCACGTCATTTTAGGAAATTAATTATAAGATTAGCAAGGCTCATGCGAACGTGTAATTTAGCAACGCGAACACACGCGATCGAAATGCGCTGGACGACAGGAAGCTAAATGTGCGAAGGCTAATGATGTTCTGCAAGATACATAGGTGAAGAGGTGTGCAATTTTTAACGCCAAGCAGTGAGGCGAAGTAACGGAACGCTGAAGTAACGAGTGAACTGCTACGAGAAAACTGTAAAATATGTAGCACTCGACGTAGTGAGAAATATAAAACCTTAGCACGATACGATACGGGGGCCACGAAATATGGACAAGCGGATAAGTATACAGTTTCCGACGCAAAAAGATAGGCACAGCAAAGTTTGGTTGAGATAAGTTATCGCGAAGGGATAACGTGTCGTGTTCGTGAAAGGAGATATTAGCATTTCGCACGTCTTTTGGTAAAAAATAGAAGACCAGCGTAATTTCATGCGACATTCTTCAACGTCCCTGGGTTTCTCCGAATTTTCAAGTAACGTGACACACGCGATATTCGCACCGAAACTAGAACGCTAGATCGTTGTAGCCACACGGTCCCGTCACACAATAGCGTTCACTGTTGACGGGATCCTGAAAGGGACCCTTCATGATACTATCGATAAAGCCCCGCGTGAAAGTTCGATAAGTACAAATCGTCGCGCACGACGTGAAACCTTTCGAAGCGCGCGCGTCATTCACGCCCAACGTTTATCACCTCGCCGCAATAATGCTCTTTTATTTGTGGGACGAACTATAGTATCCGCAATGTCGTATCGCTACTAAGTTGATCTAGGATCGATAATCGAAACCATGTAGTGTCGACGATAAAGCGTCGCGTATGAATGTTAATCCGACGCAAACGACGCCTACGCGTCGGTATTTATGCGAGTAATTAATGAACGCTATCACATGTGGCGGTGGGCGATTGTAGAATAAAAACGACACGTCGAGTCCAAGGCAATGCAAGCGTGAATCGTTAAATGTCATTTTGGAAAATATATCCGCCATTTTT